TAATTTTAATCAAATTTTATATAATAAAATTTAAGAAATAATAATTCAAAAAAGTTTATATTAGTAAAATTTTTTTTTATAAAAGATATATAATAAAAATTTATATATTAGAATAAATCTCAATATCTAATAATTTAATTAAATAAGACAAAATTAAAATTCTATTTTGAAAAAATAAGCTATTAATATTTATTTAACATATTAATCTTTTACACCAGATTATATTAAAGTATTATTTTTAAATTTATTATATATATATATTAATCTTTTTATATTTAAAGTTTAATATAAAATTTTTTTAAAAATAATATCTTAATATTTAATAATTAATATTATATAAAAATATAATAAAAATTAAAATTTTACAATATATTAATAAATTTATAAATTATTTAAAAGAAACAATTAGGAGAATATCCTTAAAAAATGCTTAAAAATATATATATATAATATTTAATAGTTAGAAGTAAGTTATTGAGTTAAATATTAATTAATCATATAAGTAAAAAAGATAACTTTAATATTTTTATTAGATAAATTTAATAATAATAATTATTTTATTATTTTTACTTAATAAATTTATTTAATTAATTATAAAAAATAAATTTAATATTAGTTAAAAAATTTATATTATAAATTTTTTATAATTTTAATTCTAATATTAATTTAAAAAATTATTTATTTTAAATAAGAATTTGAATTATTTTATTAGATTATTAATATCTTTTTATATAATAATATTTCTTAAAATATTAGATTAATACTCAAATTATATACTAAAATATTATAAATTTATTTATTTTATCAAAATTAAATTTCTTATAAAATTTTTTTAATTATTAAATTTTTTAGTTTTTCAATTATTAATAAAAAGTTTTTATAGTAAACTTATAGAATTAACTATAAACCAACTGAAATATATATATATAGTATGTTAAGAAAAAAATTGGCCTTTAGATATATAAAACTTAAAGCATATTCTTTCTATATTGAGTATATTAAATATATTAGATTTTTTTTTGAAAATAAAAACAAATTATAAGACTTGTATTTGGTTTTAATTTAAGCTCTTAAACTTTATTTTTTATTCATTAAAGATGACTAAAAGCAAGCTTAATTCTCAATGTCAAATACTTATGCATTTTTAAAATAATAGAGTTTAATCTCAAACAAAACTTTACAAAATTACTAGCATTTTTCTTTCAAAAATTAAGTATAATATTCAAAAATTAAAAAAAACTGGCAATATTATATATGGATGTTGAAAGAAAATAAAGTCCAATAAATTACATGAGCTTAAACAAATATATTCATAAAGATAATTCTGTATCTTTGCAAATCTTGACCACCAAACTTTCTGAAAATAAAGTTGAAGTTTCATATATAATAGTTAGAGTATATTTAAGAGAGCTTGATTATAAAAGTGGTTTTCCAAATGACATATCAATACTAATAGCTAACCAAAAGACAAACTGAATTATATAGAGCACAAATTACTTAAATGACCAATGGAAAAGAATCTTATTTTCAGATAAAACAGCTTTCTAACTATTTAAAAATACAATATCAGTTTGATATAAAGATCCTAGACCAATATGATCACTTCCTAAAAATTGTCAAAAAGTTTTTGCCTAGGATGAATTTTGTATCAAGGACAAAATTAGTTTATACTGTTTTATAAGTATTATGGATACAAGGTTTTACACAGAAATTTTGGAGAGATATCTTTCAGAAATCAGAAGAATGCTTAGAAGAAGATGGAGATTTCAACAAGATAATGATCTGAAGTATATGAGCTGGATGGTCAAGGAGTTTTTAAAGGAAAACTTTCCTGAGGTTATGGACTGGCCTTCTAATAATCCAGACCTTAATCCTATTGAAAATCTGTGGTTAATTATTAAACATCATGTTGAAAAATATATGCCAAGTAATATTTCTGAGCTGGAGCAATATATGGTGAAGAAGTGAGAAAATATTCCTAATAAATTTTTTACCAACCTTATTTTATCAATGCGTGACTGTTGTCAGCAAGTAATAGATAATAATGCGAATGGATCAATTATTTATAAAATATATTTTTTATACTGGTAAAAACCTTGCTTTCTAGCTTTCAAACAAGCCATTCCATGTTAAAATTGAAGCAGTTTCTATGAAGTTATTGTAAAAAAGCAGAGGCCAATTTTTTTCTTAACACACTGTATATATATGTATGTATGTATCTTTAGTAAAATATAGATTAATTTACAAATTTCAGATTTATTAATAATTAATTATATGTTAGATATTCATTTTGACTTAAAAAATGAGGAGGTGACTTAAGATTTTGAGTGATTATAAAAAGAGGTCAAATATATTTTAGTATACAAATTTGTATACATAAAAAAGCACACACAAAAGAAGTAAATTTTGACAAATTTGATCAGGTTTGTCTTTGTGCAATTGTTTCAATGATTGCGATTACTTCAGGATGCCGTTTTTAGACTCCAATAAATTAAAGTAGAACAAAGATAACCATTTATTCTTAATTTTTTTTTTTGGAAATGATTCATCAAAATTTATAGCTTTTCCTTGAAAGAACCCGATATCTCTTCATTCTAATATCGGAATCTGAATTAAAGAAATTAAGAACAAAGAATGTTGACCTTCGTTCGGAACTTATAAGCTGACATGTGTAAAACCTAAACATTCAATATAATCCTTATATAAATTAGGATTAATGTCAATATTAAAATAAAGATATTCAAATCTCATTATTATGATACCTTCCAGCCCATTAAATAATCTTTGTTTTAATGTTATAATAATGAGTTTCACATGTTTTATATTAGGTAATAGGAAATGTTTGATAGTATAACCAAATGCGTCATATGGACAACCTTGTTGAATGTCCGCACAATTCTCTTTTTTTCTGGTATAAAATTTTGACTTTCTTGGAGATTCTTTTTACTTTATTTGATATGACGATTTCAAAAATGAAAGGTCGAAAAGAATATGTAGAACAGCGAAGAGAAGTTTTAAAAAAGATATTATAAAAAATTCAAAAAACTTTTAATTTGCCATAATAATGAGTCGGTGTAAACCACCATAAAAATTAAAATGTCATGGCAATCAACGCCTTTATTAACGATAACATTAATAAAACTATGCTATTTGTAAAAACCGAATCTACAGGAAAAACCATATGAAATTCTACTTTGCACAAACAATTAAACTGTCCACAACTCAAAGATGCCTTTAATGATATTTTAATTTACAGACATAATATCTTTCAACATTAAGACTTAGCTAACAACTCCCTGATCGATAATTTGCTCATTGTGCTTTACATAAAGCGTTTGACCGTTCATAAGAGTAATATCTCCTGAATGACTTCCTTTAAAAGGCTTAGTGCCAGGGCAGGCGATATCTACACCTAGTTCGGTGAAGGTTTCATGATATGGACCAATTTCAATAGCATAATTGTCAGGATTAGTGTCCGTGATGCCTTGAAAAGCTTGTCCTTCAGCTTGGACAGTTAATGCGTCAATTTGAGTAAATATAATTTTACATTGGAGATTTTGTAAATAAACAGAGTATTGGTTGCCGACATCACGAGTTACCGGTGATGCATGTGAGAATATAAAACAGATTACGAGTAGAGATAAGGTTACCAAAGAAATGAAAATTGTATTTTTTGACGACATTTCGATAATTTAAAATCAATTTATGTTTGTTTTCTTCAAAGGAAATAAAAATTCACTCTTTTTATATTTAATTTCTCGACCTATGTTTCGATTATTTTGTTCAACCTTCGGTTACGAACATAATTCATGTAGGAGTTATCTCCCTACATGGCGTAATACATGTAATACATGTAAAACGTAACGCTCAAAGATCAATTTTATGGTAAACAATAAAAATTTTGTTCCAATTGGACAGATTTTTAGGAAATAAAAATCTTTATTAATAAGAAATACATGTGGTTGAAAGTGTCTTTGATTTTTCATTGTTCGCATATTACTTTTTTGGGCGACTGAACATTTACATGTACATGTACATGTACATGTATTAACGTTGATGCGCGTGTATGATCTAGTATCCTTTTGATCCGCATGTAAATTTTAAGGGGAGTCGGAGGTCACCGCCTTTTTTTAGTTAGTACTTCAAATCAAAAAAAATTTACGGAGCTCAAATTCGAAATTGCCAATTCTGTTTATGTGTACATTGTTACAACTTCGAACCATGTACATGTGTGTATGTAAATCTATACTTATTTGCAAATTGGTTAAGAAACTAAAAATCCATTCTTTTTGTCGGTCGACTGACTAATTTGAATTTTTCTTTTCTATAATTCAAAAATTAGTTACCATGTCGATTTTTCGATCAACCGTTAATAATTTCCTCGTCACGTAACAGAATGCGGAGGTTTCTTCATCGATAGTTCCTTGAAAAAGTAAAATTTATTACGTATGAGAAATAAGATCGTCAGTTGTGAGAATTTCAATGATGTTCGGTAATGGATATAATCGCGAAACAACAATCGAATCCCAAAAATGAAAAAGTCATAGAATCAATGTCTTTATTAAATTATCATTGATAAAAATTATGCCATTACAAAAAACTGAATTCATCGGAAAATTTACATTGAAATTCTATATAGCACGCACGAACAATCAATAAAACTGGTTAATTTTTCTGAGAGGGTAAAAAATAATAACTATTTTAGTATAACTCAATGCATACCTTCAATATTTAAATCTACATACATAATATAAATTAAGACTTGGCTTGGCAATAACCCCCTGAACGAGAATTTTATTCCCGTGAGTTACCACAAGCTTTTGACCAATTAAAATATTAATATCTCTAGGACAACTGTTTTTAAAAGGCATATGCCAGGAGTGTGATAACTACACTAATTTGAGAGAAGGATATTGCAGCAAGACATATTTTCAATAAAATAATTTCTGTATACCTTGGTGGAATTGTGCTTTATTTTAGTGAATTTTAATTTACCGATGAGTTTTGACAATGTAACACCGAGGACACGAGAATATAAAACAGATTGTGGGTAGAGACAAGGTTACCAAAGAATTGCAAATCGTATTTTTCAACGTTCGATAATTAATTTACAAATTATTTTTAAAAAACTTTCAATAATTGAAAAATTAATTTGTCGTTATGTAGATTGTTTTCATGTTTTCTCCAAAAGCATGAAAATCCTACTCTTTATACATGTATTTGATTTCTAATCTATGTTCTATTTGTCACTACATGATCAACTATTTTGGTCAAAAAACAATCTCTCGGACATAATAAATGTACCTCACATAACATTTAATGTACGAATAATTATACATGTGAAAGTAATTAAAATCAATTCCTTTTATATTCGGTCAACTGCCTTTTCTATAATTCAAAAACAGAAATTAATCACCGAGATAATGACCGGAACCTTGAGAATCCTTTTAATTTTCTTGATTTCGTGAATTTTTCAAGATTCCTTCCAAATAGCAGATGAGTCTAAATATTAGTTTATTATTATAAAGACTAAATGGCTCAAAGGATAATGTGCATGTCATTAATCATTATACAACGATTGTCAACAGAGAACTTGAAAATAATTCTATTTATTATTTTTAACAATCTCGAGTACAATAAATAAAATCGTATCTGACATTCGAATTTTTTATTTCTTTTATCTATACTAGATAATAACATCATTAATCTTTCATATAGAGAGTAGATTAGTATAAGTTTCAACATCTATTTGAGCAAAGCTTGCTAGACATATTCCACAGATCATTCTAAAATTTGTTCTGGAAGATGCGACGATGACTGACCTCATTTTGCAAGTATTTAATAGGATGTAGGAAAGAAAATTGTGTAAACAAATAAAGTATTTGTTGATGTAATTCGATCGGTATCGTATCCATTATTTCATCAACCTTACAAAAACCTTCAACCTACGAAATTCTAAGCAACTCACCTTCAAAATTCATATGATATTATAAAACCAAATATAATAGCTCATCAGGACGTTTTCAATAAGGTTACTTGATATCAGATTCAAAAACTTTAAAATTTATATCGCTAATCATATTTCTTTGACCATTTTTCGAGGATCCAATTTCGCGCTTTCACGCAAATTTCAGTTGAATTATTTGGCGTTATTTCTCAGGGAAAGTTTTTTCTTAGATTTTTGTTACAATTCCGATGCTGAAAAATAGTGAGTGACGTAACTTGTCGCACCATGGTATAAATAATAAGTGCTACTTCATTCTATTCGTTAATTGTTTTAATTGTACAACTTTATTCTAAATAAAGTCTCTATTAAAGACAGCGATTATTATTATATAGCAAACTTTTTATATAAAGAGTCATCACGACTAATTTGCCTTAAATTCAGTTACAGTAAAACAGACAAAAATAAGCAGTTTTAGGGTCGGAATAAAACCAAAGGCAAATGCGAAATATCTAACTTTTTACTCTAAACCAACAAGAATAAATTGACAATTAGCAAAATTGAATCTAGCTTTTGTTTCTCGATCTCATTCCTCTCTTTCTAGAGATGTGCCTATGCGCATAGTTACTAACAGATATCGTAAATGCCCATACACAATTATGCATATGGTTGGTTAAGTTCATAAATCATCACCAATTAAGGCATTTATACTCAATAAATAATGATAAACAAACGCATTTATAATAACCATAAATATCTACATCTTTATTGTTGAAGTTATATATGGGAACATCTAATCAAATTGGTCATATTGCTGGATTTCAACAACAGCATGCAGAATGTAAATACTGTGAAAATCCCAAATATCAATGCAATAAT